CACTGGCGGCCCTCAAGCCTTTTTTATCTAGTCCGTGCTACATTTTCAAATTACCTTATAAGCAAAACAAATAGCTAGACTTTAATTTTCTACAAATTGGCCCACTAGTAACTTTGAGTTGCCCATCCCTAACCTATAACATGTTGCGTATTATGATTAAATATATCTTTTTTGTTTTTTTGCTTAAATCACAAAGCTACAAAGGGAAACTTTGATATTGAAGGCAGTCCTTTCCATCTTATCGTTTATTATATATGGTTACCGAGACAATTGTTTTTTTAACAAAATATACAGAGCTCTATGTCTCCCACACTCAAATTTATAAAAAATAATAATCTAATACATCAGTATACTACTCTCAGGTGAAAAAAAAAAGTTAGACTGGCTCGGTGGTGTGTTTAAGAGCTTTATCGAAATTGGGGGAGTATTTATCTTATATGCATTTTTGATTATTCTCAGACTAATACGTTAATATACCTATAGAGGTAAATATTATACTTTCATTGCTTTATCAAAATATATTATAAATGATAGAAATAAGCCAAAGTGGGATATGACATATTCATCCCCCCATTCCCCTTTGAGCGCACGTCTTTAAATAAGCCCCTTAAAACATGACAGTAAATTCGATACCATACTTCGGTGTTAAATAATATAGCAATTGTGTAACACGGCGTGTCGTATAGGCAATAAAGGTACATTATTTCCATGGAAAAACATATTATTATAATTTATAAGTAGTACAGATATGAGATATCTTTATTCTTCATAGCACCTACCACCTAAAGTTAAAGCTTATAATAGCGTAAAATGTGCTATGTGGCACATACTTCAAGCTCATCATTCATCTAATAACATTACTTTTACACTATCACGATATAGTTAATAAAGTTATATTTTTGAATATTTTGCAATCTACTGATTTTGTAATATTATTATATTTTCAAGTTGCTTGCATAATATTGAATACGTGTAAATTAATTGCATAATTCATATTGCTAGAATTAATTGACAATTAATTATTGACATAATATAATAATCATACAGTTTTTAAGATAATCATTTTTTTTTTATAACAATAAAGAAATAAAAATTGTTTAAAATTTGTTAACATATCAAAGTTCATACTTGATAAACTAATATCTTATAACTAATATATTTTAATTTTAGTAAGACATTATTGTCGTATTTAAGTACCTGCGTTATTTAAATTAAAAACCTGTCCATCAGTCCATTCGTTTGTATTTGCAATCATTTCAAAACAATTCAAAACGTTCGTGATTATCAAAATATTGATCAATTAACAATGAATATTAATATCGTTTTTATTTAATTTAAAAAAACATCAGAAAAATAAGTTATTAGTTCTGAAATATTAATTTGAAAACGGGTTACCGTTTCTATTTTAAAACGATTATATAATTATAGATAAAAATTTTTTTTACATTGTTGAAGTTGATCTTATTTGTGGTCTTTTCTGTGTTTGTACCTATTGCTGTGACTATTTTGGGTTGGCATGTTTTTTCTTAGATCGTTTATATATTTATGCATTCTGTTAATATATGTACTCGTACGTACCTATATTTATTTTTATATTAATATATATATTTTTTTATATTTATATTTATTGCGTCAACAACACACCACGCAGGTTAAACATTGAAGAGGTTCTTTCTTGATTATTAGGAATTTGTGTGTTATCCCCGTATCTGAAGTTATCTTATTTGGCGACGGTTAATTGTATTTAAGTTCTATTATTGTTTATTTTATGACATTTTCGTAAATATTTATAACAAAACTTTTCTCGACACATGAATCACGATGGTTCACTATAGCACACTCTAAACGTATAGAAAGTACGTAGGGAGTCACACCACCAACTATCAAGGGGACAACGATAGAGCTACCGATTGGAGTTTTTGGCTTCTAACAGTCCAATGCAGAAAATGGGTGTATATGAATCACTTAAGTATGTTAATTGGATAAAATATGAATTTTGAAGTGAACGATAATGTCTAAATACTCTTGAGTATTTACAAAAAAAACAAAATATGAAGATTTGGTTAAAAGTTTATAATATTACCTATTTTTAATGAAATATTAAGAATGTTTTTCAGAGTGAATCGAGTATTTTTTTAATCGTATGAATATCTAATTATTTAGTTCCCCCAAAAATGTTACAAGATTTCCACCTATGAAATTATTTTATTGATAACTTATGCAGTACTAATTTTATTACGTTTAATTAAAGAAATTGTAGCAGAGTTATTTTTAAAAAGTAATTTCTATAAAGTAACATCAGTAACAAGTCCAATAAGTTAGAACTGGTGGGGAGAGGATATATTAAAATATATACAATATACAATAAAAATGTTTTATAAAATATTTTTCCGCCTCAGGTTGTAGTAGGGTGACCACCTAAATAACCACTCCTCTCTTGTGCACACGGCACACCACTATTATAACATGTTATATTTAATGTTATTTAATAATATTAGGAATGAGTATAAAAGCAATCATAATGGGAGGTACTACTCGGATGGTTGTAGTTTATTTGCTCATATTATAAAATGTTTATACTTTTTAAAACAGTAAATGTATGGTTTTGCATATTAAAAAAAACGTAACACTTAATTTTCAAACTAAAAAGTAATAAATTGTGATAAAAATAATGTTGGGTAATGCAAACGTAACATAATATATTGATTAGTAAGGAACGCAATTGTATTACTTTACAAAAAAAATTATCCAACAGTGCCGTTCTATCTATAAGAAACAACTGTAGTAAATCTTAACTTAGGTATAATATAGAATCATATCAATTACATCTATTATTGTATCCAAATAACTGAAATGGGTCAAATATTATTTTAATTAATTAAATATTGTCTTCGTGGTTCACATACCCAGTTTGTATTTTGTATGTGTTGTAACTTATAATGGTTGATACATTAATGGACTTAATTTAAACCACTTGTACATTGTAACTTATACAGTTATATTTAAGTTGTACTAGTCCGTATGAATGACTTATTAGAAATTATATCATATACTCTATACGCACACATATATCATTGAAAAGATATAAATCTTTTCAAATAGGCATAATTAAATTTTTTTCAAAACTGTAATAAGTAGGCAGATATACAGTGATAGTGTGTCAATGGTCTATTGTCTACCATACATCACTCAATTAGAAATCCTAAACTAAATCTATTCAGCCTAATATATTAATGCCACATCGTTACACTATACTGGTGTCTGTGATATATTCTTCTTGTATAGTTGTATAAAAACATACTTGTCTTATTTGAAGCAATATACTAGAGAATATTAATTTACACTGAATAATTATAAAGTATTATATACTCCAAACAGATGAACATACATATAATAAAATTGGCCTTTTCTAAAATATATTAACAGGAATTTGATTCCACAGGCTGTCTACATTAATTGTATAATAGAATAACACTTTTATAATTGATACACATTTTATATTTGTTTTTGTTTTTATTTTATATTTTACTTTCACCTAAAACTAAAATAGATACACAGGATTATTTCACAAAAAAAAAAAATAATAATAATAATAATAATAATAATGATAAAGAAAAAAGGAAAAAGAGAATCCATCCACTTGTAGCATTTTCATAATTGTAAACTGAGATCTTAATAGTAATATGTAGAAATGAAAAAAAAATATATATAATGAATATGTTTGTATACAGACTTAATTATTGTAATCATAAAATAAACCAAATACAATACAATATTGAATTACTACAAAAATTAAAAACTAAGTCACGGAAAAATAATGGGATGGGTGAACACCATTCTGGTTTAATACATTTTTAAAGCGCAATTACATTAGCTATGGTACCTAATTGATAATGGGTCATAAAATACAATTCTTTTTAGTAAAAAAAAAAATATATATATTTATATTTGTATTTATATATTTACCATATTATAATATATTTAAAATTATTTAGGTACTCTTTCTACTTAAGTACCTAAAACATACATCAGTCATAAAAATATCATAATTTTTTTTTCTTCTCCTTTAATTAGGTAATACACAATATCGTAGGTACACAACTAACGCTATGATTTACTTAAACTATTTATTGATTTTTTTCATAAATTAGTATTGTATATCTTAATATGGGTACCATAGCGACAACTATCTTAAAAAATAATATTTTATATATAGGTGGGCATAGTTCATTTAGTGTAATGATTGGAAGTTAATTTATTTCATCAATACAATGATATATCGTAATTCATATAACGAAATGCATATATTATATTTATATGCGTAATTGTAACATTTTTCAATCAATCCATAGATTAAATATAAATTATATGTAACCTATGATCGATTAATTTTTTTCTAATTGAGCAAAACCAAAAAAATATAAATTTATATTAAAATTAATATTTTAATATATATATATATATATAAATATACATACATTTAAAATAACATCAGTTACAAAATAGAAACAATAAGTCGATTTTTCCAATACAAAATTAGGCCTAAAATTATTAGGTAACCTATTTTTGTACAGTTAATTTTATTTTTTTTACATTCTTTTCTTACCTTTTGATAATACATTTCTTTTAAAACTAAAATATATTATTAAATACTTGGTCTTAAAAAATATACACAAGTATTCATAATACGATGCTTACATGCTAACATCCTATACATTATTTTACATCATTTTAATTACACATTATTAAAAAAATGTATGTCTATACCTAATAAGTAGCCTACGATTTATAAATAATAATAAAAGAAAAAAAAATTAACTTAATGGACTATTTACGGAAAAAAAACACTCTTATAGTAGTTTAAAACTTTTAAATATCATAAACAAATTCAAAATATTTAAAGCTTAAAAAAAAATACAACACAACAGTCTTAAGTTACAAAATAAATAAAAATAAAAATAATTTTTTCTTTAATTAAAAAATATTATATTGCTTTGGTGAACATTCGGGACCAATTCATCATTGTTTAATGATCTCAGAGATGAGGATTTATTTTTATTTTGTAACTACAACTGTTAATTCTTAGACTTAGGATACATATATTTAAAAATATAATATTCTAGTGTTGGTTCAGTATAATTTGTAAAATCACACACTTTGAATACAAATCACACAAAATCACTCAAAAATAATTTCGAAAACAAAAAAAATAACAAAAAAAGTAATAAGATTCTGATTGCACATATACATAAGGGTAACATACACTAATGTGTATACTTAACTGTAAATTGTAAATGCAAATGTAAAAAGTAAAATTATAATAAATTTAATTTTAAATAAAACTTATACAAAAATGTACATTTATTTATTATTGTATTCGAAGCTTGAGAAAATGTAGGTCCTTGTTTTTATAACGCGTGTAGTTTCTTGGTATTTAAATAAACAAAAACATTTTTAATGGCAAATGATATCGTTGGAACTTATATATTTGTCGATTAAAAAATAAATAAACATAGAGATAAGTATGCGAGACTAAAATTGCTAGGAATTTATAAAAGTGCCAAACAAACCAACATTATTCATAAAAGTTGTTATTACAAAATAAAAATAATAAAATAAATAAACGTTATTTTTGAATAAAAACTTAAATGATATTGCTCGAGTTCGTTTGATCCAATCACAGTCAACAGTTACAGAAATAAATAGATACAAAAAATATGTATACATACATATAAATATGTATAAATATCATTAAAAAAATCAATAGATTGTCCGAAACAAAGTGCGTGATGTTCACTTTGTCTTGGTCCAGTGATAGTCATAATAAACTACAGCGTACCGACGGCCCCTCAGTACAAATACATAATAATAGATTATAGTCATGGAGATTTGTTACTGCGCGGTAATCATTCAACCGCGGTGCTTATCATTATTATATTTCGGTATATTAAATAATATTACGGTGGAATAAAATATATCCATTATTGTGAAACCCATATTATATCCGTACGATATGCGGGTTAAGTCAGATGGGGGTTGAATGTTGGCGGGAGGGTGGGTCAACCATGTGTCGACGGTTTGGCAATCCAACAAACGACGGAATAGAGAAATAATAATAATTATAATAATAAACACGAGAGGTAAACGTGCGCGCGATCGCAGTTTGTATAATAATAATTATAGTGGTAGTGATGGTGTAGTGTAGTGTAGGTTGGTGATGGTAGCTTTATAATTTTTTTTTTTTTTGTTTTAGTAGGTAACTTCACCGATGATGACTTTTTATTCTTCTCATTATTCTTCCTCCTCTTACCGTTGTTCGGCGGTACGCGGCGCTCGTGTTTCGTCCGACCTTTTATAATATGTGTGTAGTGTTTGGGCGTGGGGTTGCGGTGTAAGAATAGTGTAATCGAACCGTGGGTGGGTCGTCGTCGTCGTCGTCGTCGCGCAGTCAAGCGGGTCGTGCGAAGTATATGAGAAATAGTAATAACACGTCATATTGTAAGAATACGACAAAAACAACAACAACAAAACAACAACAGCAACAACAACACCACTTGGCGATCGACGACGTCGTGGCCACCACCGGAGCACCACCCGACCACTAACAACCCCGCCGCCAGCACCACAACGAAACGCGCGCGACTGTGCGAGCACGGCAACGACGACATCATCTGCGGAAAGGCGTCGTCACCGCGCCGTGCCCTAGTCACCCGAACCGCTCTTTGACGAGGAACATGAGCTTCTTCTTGCCCTTGTACGCCAGCTTCATGTTGTCGAGCAGTTGCGCGAACTGCGCGTGCCCGTCGTGCGCCAACATGAACGTGTCGCGCGCCTTGCCCAGGAACTCGATGAAGTCGGCGTAGTGGCGTGGCGATATGTGAGTGAGCCGCGAGTGGGTAGTGTTGACGTACGCAGCGACGGCCGCCTCGAGCAGGATCCGGAGCGGGGCCCGTTCGTACGACAGGCCCTTCATCATGCCGCACCGGGACGATCCGCCACCGCCTCCGCCGCCCCCACCGCCGTTGTTCCGGTGGTGGTGATGGTGATGGTGGTGATGATGGTGATGGTGGTGTTTGCCTGTGAACAGAGAGAGCAATACACCGATTAAGATTTATCATACGTGCGCCCAGTGCGAAACACAATTATGCACAATTTTTAGAATGTCATGGCGGAATCTATAAAATCTAAAAACAATATCGCCGGTAAGTAGAGTGGGCAGGGGAGCTTAACGGCCAACTGAATGGTACAAAACTTCGCTAAAACTACGTTGGCATGAATTTTTAATGGATTTTCGCCTTTGTAGGGTGAACTTAAAATTTCTGTTCGAAAAATGGAGGGTCCACACCTTTAAAGGTCGGAAATCGAGTATATAGATGGATACGTTGGAAAGGTCATTTTCAAAGAGTATACAGCAAGCGCCGCTGTTTTAAACGACCTCTGTTCGGAATTGTTTTTTTAATTTATAATTGTTTATTCAAATGTTAATCATAACCACTTTTCTGCGCCAAGTTTGTACGTATACAGGTATAGTTTTCAATAAATCTTAATTAGATTGATTTATTATATTTTGTACGACAGGATTGGAAAAAAATATTAATCAGGATAAGAAATAAAAATCGTACTGATTTTATATATAAACTATCAGAACATACTTGTACAACTTGTGCGCACCGAACAAAACTGAACATTTAAATAACTAAAAGATTTCAAGGACCACACTCAAGACATCGAAAAGAACACGTGGAAATTATATGAATTTGTCCCGAGTCCGTTCAAGCCTTGAATCTAAATATCATACCAATTGGTATTTGTAAATTGATTGAAGTTGTTTGGTCTTTTGGATTAACATTTTTTATTGCAAGTACGTTACACGACTTGTATACTGACACGATGAGTCATTTTTTATTCATAGTAATATCATGATTCAACGAACATTTTTAAATCGATATCAAGTTTAGTCAAAATTGTAATACGAATTCCATTCAAAATAAATAAATGTATAATGGTTGTTTAAATTGAAATTCAAGCATAATAAACAGATACTTTTGAAGAAGAAAAATGGCCGACAACTGGCCTTTTGTCAAATAGTCATTGTGTTCATTATTTATTTTAAAGATATTTTAACTGAATTATTCATTTTGAAATTAGAATAAAAATATAGACTTAAAAACACTAAACAAATTTAGGAACCTATTGAAAAAATTAATTTACAACTTAACGTACGATGTACCTAGTATTTTAAATGAGTTATTTAAATGTTAAATGTATTGTCCTATACAGGAGCAAGCCGGAAAAACTTTTTACTAAAATACGCCGTAGTTTCATTAAGTTTTCACAATTTTATCTATTGATTCACAATGGCCTCGTTTGAGTGTATTTGATACAAGAAAACTGCAGGTTATTATTAAAAAGCTATATTAGGATATATATATAGGAATATAGGATCACATATTGTCAAGTATTATATTATTATAAATTATAATAATGTTATATGACACAGTTTTTCAGGTGGGATCATTTGTCGTCACATGCATTTTCCAAATATGTGTAAGAATGTACCGAAAGATCAAATAAGTAATAACTATAAAAAAAAACCCCGCTTTTTAGGTGCTTACTGGTGTCAGGTGGAGGCAGTGCGTGGGCACAAGTCATTCCGGGTGGCGTCATCGAACACCTACGTAATATGTCAGACAGCACGGTGGCGCACTGCACGTTCTTCACCAACAATGGGATCATGGTAGCCAATTCGTTTTTGCCCAGAGAGTGGCTGAGGGCGCAGGCCCAGTGTATGTCGTTAATGGCTGGATGAGTGTCCTGGAAAAAAAAAGTCGGTCGTCACAATACGTTATTGTTACAATAGGTACATAATATAATTGTTGTCGAAGCGTGAAATCAAAAACTGATGATGATGGAGTACGCGGTTTGCGTTTTGATCTAAAATTGATTGATAAATACATTTAAAGAGACTATAGTTGAGACTAAAAGCACTCATAATAGTTCCCTACGTGGTCACTCAAGACTGCAGAATCGAACTATCGATATCGATTAGCACGATCAGCCGGTGCTATTATATATATGTAATGTATGACGCTTATTAGAATCCCAACATTTAGCATTCGTAATAGACGAATAATAATGTAAAATCGAAAACTATAATTTCCATCAGGGTCTGGGAGGTGGTGGGATTATCTTCTTTTTAAATGCTCTATGTTCCTCGAAAACCTACCTGATTGTACGCCAAATGAACGTTCTTCATAGCGAGCATTGCGAGTTTGTAAGCGCGGTTAGGGTATCCGCGGTGTTCCATGTAACGAGCGATCGTAAACAGCTGTGATGAGGTCATGATATGAGCTGCTGCGTCCAGCACTATCTGGTAAGCCGATTCGAACGCAGTGGCATCGTTCTCGCATAAAGTCAGAGCGTTCAGTGCGCAGTTCGGAGGGTCCTGTAATGATAGTAATAATTACAATAAATAATTAATAATTAAACACGAACAGTGATATTAAGGATATTAACATATTTTCTCCTATAAGTGTACGTCGAGAGGTGCTAACAAATTTGTCGATGTAAATATTATAACGATACAAATAAAATAATAAAATAGATACCCAGGGGTAGGTAGTTTATTTAGATGATTTTGAGTTATTATTTGGGTTCAAAATTAACTCGTCTTATTTTTGAGTAGACGTGTGAATTTCATTTAAGGTAGGAAATAACGTAAAGCGATTAGAAAAGTTAAAATGTATTATTAAGTCTAATTTAATTATTCATTTGTAATTACTAATTTGTACGTAATGCTACCAGTGTAAATTAAATTTAAATTAAATTCATCCAATGGCCAAAGTCATCGAGGCTTTATTTAATAATAATAAAAAAAAGTTAAAATGAATTTGAATTCTTGGAACTGAGCAACCGCCTAGCCTTGAACCTCAGTATAGTAAATACAATTTCGTTATGAGAGATATTCTAATACTTAATACATGTATATAAAATAGAGACAATATCCGGATTTTGTACAATTAAGCGGTAGGTAGCATGAAAGTGTCAGTGTACATATTATAATGTATAGGATCCTTACTTTGGACGCGCACTGGAGCGCCAATGTACGTGCGTAACTCGACAGTTTTTCTTGATGTTCAAACGATAGGTTTAATCGGAGCATTGTACTGTGAGACATTATGGTCGTGGCGACTGGTCCTGTAAACACGAAAAGCGTACGGTCAGCAACAAGGAACGTATCGCGTTCAACGAGCATCCATTTAATATACACAATATAAACGAATATATAATAATATTATATTATGCATATGTGTGCTCCGCAATGTCACGGCGTTCAAACCGATCATGTCATATTGTTATATTATTATAACGTACCTGTGGCTTCGGTGGGCGTGAATAATTGAAACCAATTTTGCATGACGGAGGTGAGAGCGTCCATGCCGACTTCTGTGGCACACGTCACCAACCATCGGACCATTTCGCGTCTTCGCCAGTTCAACGAAGCCAGAGTGATGCGCATTACCTTTGGAAATCACAAAAAACCACACGTTATAAGTTATTGAAAACGAACATCATTATTATTATCAGTACAATAATATACTATTTCCGCCAAACAGCATTGTGCATAGATATTTTTATAATATATACCGTCGTATTATATCTAACCGTCTGGCACTATGCGGGTGATAGGTATATAGTATAAAATTATTTAAACACGAAGGCTTAGCCAAACGAAACAGAACACACAACCCGCTGAAATCGAGGTTTTTCAAAAAATATACTCGTCCGGTGGTTATACGCACTTGTAATCCGAGTTCGAAGGCGACGGTCAACAGCGGAGGATGTCTGGGACCGTTCTCGGGAGTCGCGAAACGAAACGCGTCTTGGGCCAATTTGAAGAGGTGCGACGAACTGTGTATGTGTCGTTGCGCAGATTCCAGTACGGTCCTCAGTCGAAGTAGTTCACCTGGAGGGGGGAGGGGACACAACAGAAAAAACAATAGTTATTAATTGAACAACAAACGGAAAACTCAAAAGTATAACGACCGCTTAAACTCAATCAAACATACCTTTGGCGGCGCTCAGCATGGTGGACGCCAATGTGCATTGTTGCGTTTCGATGTGACCCAGCGTGAACCAACGAGGATAGCGGTTCAGCATGACGGACGAAGGGTTACCGTTCGGATTGTCCGAGTCTTCGTGGTCCTCCAGGATCGGTAATCTGTAAGGACACATTTTATACCCGTTTATTAGGTTGGTAACAATAGTATATAAATATATTTAAAGGCGATGACGTCAACTCAGTTGCGCGTTTTCTAAGGGAACCTATACTAATTTTATCTATGTGACCTTCAAACGACCCCACCCCTCGCTCACCCGCAAAAAAACTTTCGACGATATAGGCGATATATAGTACGCATAATGTGTATACTTCAAGGTCGTCGAAATTTAGGTTTTAACCTAAAATTGGTGCAGGCAATTGCGTTAAAAGTTCTAGCGGCATGTCCTTTAACGCGGAATTCCGGTGACCCTGTACTTTATCGAGTGGTCAGGGAATAAATACACCGGTAACCACAAGTGGTATACCAGCCACGCAGTATATATTACCACGAATAATATGGGTATGTACACTCACCTCATGGCCCGCAAGCCGACTTCGTACGCCAGATCAGGGTAGTAGTCCAGAAGGGCGACAAACAAAAAACGGGCGAACGTGTGCATGGGTATGCTGTCTCTGTGCACGCCTAGGCCCAGGCCACTGGTCGGACCGCCGTCTAGGAGGACGATGGCTTGTCGGCGTAAAACGCCCACCAGATTCGTGTCCATGTCCAACTCTTGTAGTTTGGCTATCAGTCTGTCTTCTTGTTTGCACGCCTTCTCCTGTTGAATCAGTAAAACAAGACAAATATTTAATACAAAACTAAAATAGATATTAATTCTATACTATAGGGTATACACTTTACAGCAGCTGTATGTGTTAGTCGGTCTCACCGGTATTCCGATTATTTTATTTGTCACTTTTTTTCGTTTACATTTTATAAACACACATCGACTACATGAAAATACCATTATTATTTGCTCAAGTATAGTGTACCTATGTATAAAACATGAGCGTGTGTGTAAATTGTCGGTTTAGAAGTCGTTAACGAGTTTAATTATTTATAAATGTATAAATAATCTTTATTTGCATTTCTTTTTTCACACCGTTCTCGAACTCAACTCTGCTGTGCATTCAATGGCATCGTTTAAACTACGCTGGCCACCAGACGACGTCTAACATAATACCTCTAAACCGGTGAGGAAAAAATTTAAACATATATAATAATATATATACAAAGAAATGATTGATTCAAACATCGCGTACAACAATATGATCCTAACACGTTGTACACGTAGCGTATCTTACACGACGTTGAATACGAATAAAAGTTTTTATTTCACGACAAAGAGCATCCGGTATAGAATTGATATTTCATTCGGTTTTCAAATGGCGTGAGGTGAGTCTACGGTTATTGTAAATCAAAAAACGCTACCCCATAGCCACTGCTCTACACAGACGAGACAAATACTCTACAGACCCCGCGCATGTACGTCTTTTGCGACGATTTTTTGTCTCACTCACAACGCCTGCCCTGGTTACTTGACGTCGACATAATTTATACCTGCACCCGACATTCCCCTACACCTCCGAGAACTGGCCATTATTCATTTTCCAACTCATATACCTACAAGCTTAATTATTCATGATTCAAGTAATTTTTTTAATTTATATAATTTTCCACTATTTACCACGTATATTGAATATTCTAATTTAAAATATACAAATGTGAAATTATTTTTCTATTAACGTCGAATTTCAGAAACTTTTTTTTTTTTATTGAACTTAAGCCCGGTGACTAAGGCCATGAACTGTGGTAGGGGTAAGGTTGGTATGGTGGGTTTGTTTTTACGATTGTTACGGTTGTTACGATAGGTAGCAAACACCTGTATGTGTGGCAAAGTTTTGAACTACTATGAACCCGGGTGGTCACCCATCTGAGAACTAGTAGCTGTGGCCGTTACTTACTCACAGTCGCATTCCGCAACTAGTAGCAGCCAACGCGCCACGCCAAGCCACATTTCAGAAACTGCAGAACCAATTTCAATAAACATCATACCGATATAGGTATAGATTCTCGAGACTCGGAAAGTGGTTTAAGCTTCTTTTAACCTCTATAAGTTGCTATAGGGTGGCTCACGCATGAATTCCGTTTTTGTTCACAAAATGGAATAATTCTTGGTAACACTTTAGACAGGTATAGGGTCGTCAAAAAAAATTGTAATTAGTATAGAATAGCCCATGACCGGCCATGCGTTGCTATAGGATTTATTTTAAATAAAAGAAATAATATTCAATGTATTGATTGTTATTCAAATGCACAACAAAAGACAATGCCCTTATGTTTGTAAAGCTTATAGATTCAAAAACCACTCGACTGATTTTGATGAAAGTTTCAGTGATTGTTTTCGGAGATATTAGAAAAGTTTAGAGAGTAGTTTGAAAACCACGTTCGAAAATATACCAAGATTGGGATTTATCCATCTCGGTCGAAATACTTCACAAAGCGAGGTACACCGCCAGTGATGATTTGACCGTGAACTAACTGAGGTAAGTACACTAGAACCGAGATATACACCAATATAACGAATAATAGCGCCGTATTTTATGTTTGTTCATATTTTTCCTCAGCGAATTCTGATTTTACTAATCTTTCTAAAAAGAGAGATATTAATATATTTCTCTCACATACACACACACACACACATATATATATTTATGTTAAGCAGTCAGTGGTATTTGCACACGTATCCATATAATTTAGCCCAATTAATGTGAGCTGTATAATGTATACTGTATATATTAAGCGTACAGAATATAATACACGAATTTAATTGTTAGCGAATAAATAAGCGGACGAGATACCTACTTACACGACGAAAAAAAATTAAATAAAACCACCTTTGTAGTATACCATACGATTCGAAACAAAATAATTGTACGTTTTGCATCTAATAGTTTAATAACTATACTCCTATGTAAGTAGGTAATAAATAATACTCAAGGTTGGACACACATTATACCTACCTAGCTATATATATTATTATATATAGGCAAAGCGGGATATAAATTAGAGTTGGTTTAATTTTAAGTTTCACAAGCGAAATTGTTTTCTCGATACGACTGTTACGTTAGCTAGACGACCTCATTATTTTTTGATTCGTAACATACAGCGCAGCCCTCACCCCTAAAATATGCATATACGTCGTTTTTACAAGAAGCTATTTTTTTCAATTAAGTCTACCGCGAAGGTGTTTCTTTTTCATTTTGAGAAACAAAAGTACAATCTCATAATAATAAATATTAATGTTAATGTTTGAAAATTAATTTTCATACGCACCAAACTTTTAAATAGAAAATGATAAATAAATCATAATTATGTATGGAGATTGCTGTGACCTGGATTTATTGTCTGCGCACACGTAAAACATTTAATTATGAATTTCGTATTCATCTGTATTATTAAAAACTTCACCCTTTCATATTATATTAAAATGAATGTATTTTTTTTCTTTTGGCGATTGTCATTAATAAATGATGAAGCGTCGTTATTGGAAAAAGACGACTTCGACGCAAACCGATCGCGAGGGTACAAGAATTGATTGAAAAGTTTTTTATTATAATTTTTTTTTTTGTATTTCCAAATGGATTTAAGGTGGTTCTCCGACAACAATACCTACAAACAATAATATTATAATTCACACTGCGTAAAAAACACATTTCTCGATGAATTTTATGTGTGAACGAGGAGTGGAGACAGGTGTTGGTGCCCGGGTCGGTCGGGGAGTGTACCATAATGTAATTTTTTAGTGTATAACCTACAGGTACGAAAATGTTATTACCGCGAATTAATGGGCATTATTTTTATAGGCGTTTGACGGGTTGTGAGCGGTTGCGGAAAAACAGGTTAACTACACGCGACGGCGATAACGGGTTGGCTTCCATCGAATCGCTATTAGTACTTATATAGCTGGATACGTCACGTGTGGGTATGTGCGTGTGTGAATAGAAATTAGGAAACTGTACGCGTTGCTCTGCACATACACCGAACAGTCGTGTAAAAGACCAAAATTCCATGTGACCTTTGTCCAAATGATAATAGTAACTTTATAATAATTACTTTCACCGATTTTCAAAAAAAAAAAAAATAATAATAATAATAATCTAGCACTCTTAAACGGTCGTGAGTCAAAACGCGACTAGTCATAGTATACTCACGTTACGTTGGTTGCGTAATGACTTATAATACATTCGCACTCGCAAACACGCACACAAGTTTTAAACGTGAGTATAATATTAATCAAGCAACAATCGCACAAGTACAGGCGAATATTGTTGACCTCATAACGAAACCATAATACATATCACCCGTAAAACCGGCCTAAGGCCGTGAACTTTGAAACCTGTTCATGGGCGCGTTAGCGCGCTGCTGACCGCCGTTTCGACACAGTGAACTTCTCTTTTACCTGGTATGCGGTATTACGTATATACTATTTATACGGTAAACTACGTGTATATTCTAACGCGTATCCGAAATCGTGTCGGCCGCCTATATCCACCCGATCGGCCGGTTCCGAATAAAATAATGCGTAAGATTTACAAACGAGCGCACAAAAATATTTACGGCATAATAGACGAGCGTATTATATAACATTATTTTGTATCTCAACGAGCGCCGCGACTGTCCCCGTTATATTTTGCGATTGATGATTTTTGAAGAAAAAAAGGAAAATCGTCTCTATTTTTTTATCTAATCCGCGACAGAGAACCACCATGGTGTTTACACGCATCTAAACTTGAAATACAAAAAAAAAAAAACAATTTTCATCAACCCGCATATTCATATTGGAATAGAGCTGTAAATAAAATGTTTTTGGGTTGCAGGCCTGCGGGAAGTTCGTCGTAGAGGAATGCACATTATAAATTATTATATATATTATATGTGAGTCAGTGGGCGGGCCGATTGAGCACAGGGGCAGCAGAGTACACGCCCTGAACATAATGTGCATTGTACCTATGTATGCTATCCGAGTTTGGGTTGCAGGGTTTTTGCAGTGTAAAATACTCAGACGGACGTCGTCGCGATTATACTTCGATAATCTATACAAGAAATCTCACGAAAAACATAATATGACGTTCGTCCGCATAGGTATATACGCATATAATAAAGGCCCCCGAGAGTGTGTGCCACTAGACCCATACGCTTACTGTTGACAATACGATATAATGACAATAATACAATAATAATATATTATAATGTGTACAGTGACACACGCGCGAGCGTACATATTTTTCATATTGTTCGGAGTATAAAACTGCGGCACTGGCACAAGTTTTGTAAGGAACTGGCAGAAATCCGTATGAGTAGATCCCACATGCTGCGAAAATGAATAATAATAATAATAATAGTATACTAAATGGGATATGAAAAACGATGAAAAGAAATCGACCAACGCGCGTATAATCGAGTATTATTTGTGCTATACACGGATGGTTGGGCTGGCTCGAGCCTTTTAACTCATATACATATTATTGTATACATAAAACATAATAATAAATATAATATATATAATGATTTAATATCATGTGCCTTCGAGTCTCGACATATTTTCTACGTGGTTGAATGTGTTATATTTTATTCCGTTTCGAATTCTATAGTACAAAAGTTACAGAGAAGAGGAAAATAAATGCGGAGGCCTACCTTTCCAAATATCCACGTAAAATAATATAATATACGGTATTCCAGAACACACACACACACCCGCGCGCACTTTTGATAAATTTAAACCAATATCGTTCTTATAATTCATGGAAATAATCATACACACATAGGTATTTATAATTATAATATTAATTACAATTCCAAAAGTAACACTTGTTACTATTATGATCATTATTTTCTACTACAAGTATACAAATTTCGATTCGACAATTTAGCATATTAGGTAAACACGTGAAATATATGCTCAGCATAAAATATTAATAAAAACACGACGGAAATAATTACGTTAGGAAAATTGGACAAACACGAACGGCATATATACATTGTGTGCGTACAGCGCGTAATTAAGAGACGCAAGCGGTTTAAAATATATTTAAATTTTTATGTTTGCTTTCGGGTATACACATAGTGGGTAATTAAATATTTTACAACTGCAAATAATATATGCTATTACGCGTGCGATTCGAACCACACATAATATAGCACATGTATTTGGATTATACAGGATGATTCAACAAGCATGCTACCCTCATTTTTCCTTTAATCATAAATTTGATCACATTCTAATATTCGAAATTTTTAAATATACGCTTAAACCATTTTTTCAAGTCTATGATTTTTTTTTTTTTAATTTGTATAACTAAATGATAAGTGGATAATTGTTGATGCACCTAATTCAAAATTTAAACGCAGAGTTTCTCAATTATTAAAATGTTTGTGCTAAGGATAATTGTCATCGTTAAAAACGGTACATCAAAAGAATAAAATAGATATAATAATAAATCTAGTATTTATTATACTCACTATAAGGTCATTAATAAAAATAATTAATGCCGATCGATTAATATTAGTCACTAAAATGTTCAAATCACCATATCTTCCAAAGCCAATATCATAGGTCTACTCATAAACTATTGACGTTGAGTATATTTACAAATTAAAAAAAAAATCTGATTATGAATAAATGCATTATTGAAGAAAAGGAGGGGTTGAGCATGCTTGGTCAATCACCCTATATACCACGGCGAGCAACATTTTAATCGCCTAAACACCGGTTCGATAAATTTAAAAAAAAACTAGGTTAAAAAAATAAATCGAGTTATTTTTAACGTCAAGAAGGGACGAATGCCGCACGACTGTCTACAGGGACTAATACCGTACATATATCTAAAATGATCATGACACGCGCGGCAGTAATAACGGGGTTGGCGTGCGTACATGTATATCGGTTGCCAGGAATCAGAATTCGCTCGGAGCAGACATTGTGTGATAAATGTCGCAAGCAGTCATAAAAAAATGGTTCTCTGCGAAGTGCTGTTAAGTCTACAATTTATACTGCGCAATCAATTTTAATAAATAGTCTACATTAGTTATTATAATGTGAACAACATACTGCGCCCGGCAATGCATTAAAAGTTAAATTAAATATATTTACACGGCGAACGAGCCAAGAGTTGGCCCTAAATATTTGTATATTTTATTTTCGACGATATTGTACAGTGCATAATATAATCGGTCGACCGACTAGACCGAATTCTGAGAATTAAAAACCGGTCACACATGACTAGCGGGAAAAAACTTGAAAACTTACCTGAGCGTAAAGTCCGGGAGGCATGTTGCGCTGTTGGCCGAGGCCGATGAGGGCGACTTCGACCGCAAGCGACAGGTACGTTTCGGAGCGGTCCTGCGAACCGACGACGGGTATGTGGGTGAGGCGAGGAGTGGGTCGCAGGATGCCCTCTTCGGATGCGTTGGCGTCTGTACGAACAAAAATCAAACGATTAGCTATACACATATTTATTTATTTACTGTCATTCACAACCCCTTTTTATAGGAAACTTGTAAAAACACATTATATAATAAAATAATAAAAATAATGCATAATAATAATTAACAAAAAAAAACAATAACATTATAGATCAGTGTACAGTAGCAGATCAGTAGGCCTTATCGAGTGGATTATCATAATATTAAAGCTTACAAGTTTTTCGGTTAACTTTAAATCAATTATTTTTTCTTTCTTTAAAAACAATTGTAATTAATAAATGCACATGTGAATGACGCAAATATTTCAAAAGTAAGTAGAATGATTATTTTCAATGAAATTGAACTCGACCGTTCATATTTGTATATTATGGATGAAACACCATAACTATAAAAGCACTAAAAATAAGAGTTATGTGAAAAATGAGAATGGAAAAAGTTAGGTGTTGGTATATTTTTTTATCTATAAACAAACAATAGTTTTGAGGAACACTCCTGGGAAAGTCCAAAAAAAAAAAAATACCTTCTGCGCGATTACACATAATATTATACGTAGGTAGGCAAGGAACGTACCAAAAAATGACGACGGCGAATGAGGCACATTTGGATCAGGAACTATAGATGCATCAGTCAGTGTGTCGAACAGGCAGCCGATCGGTTCCATCGGGTGGCCGACCCATCCTTCGGTCCAGCTGTTGTGCAGCACGGCGGTCTGTTGGTTGGAGCCACCACCCACGCTGCCCCGGGAACTGCTTCCGCCGTTCCGGCTGTTCGTCCGCTCCGGGTACCGGTAACCAGAAGAGCCGCCACCGCCCATGTTTCCGCTGCCCAAGCCGCCACCACCGCCACCGGACATCGGGCCGCCCGGCGTGCGCGGAGGTGGATGATTGTCGTAGTAGGTACAATAACTGTTGCACCTAGGCGCGGTACACAGATTGGGGCGGGGAGCGTCCGCGAACGCGGTGCACCGATAACTGGAACAGCCTGCGCCACCACCGCCGGGGTAACCGGACCGCGAGTCATTGTAACCGCACCGGGACAGGCTGCAAGCGGACGACGAGGACGACACAGCGGCGGCGGCCGACGACGAAGACGACGACGGACCGCCGCCGGACGACGAAGCGGACAGACGGTCGTAACCACCGCCACCGCCGCCGACCATCGGACACGACACGCACCGGGACGAGCACGGACGCGTTTGCGAGTAGGTGTCGTAAGAGCACGACTGCGCGGGACGGAGCTCGTAGCACCGGGTCGGCGGGTTCGAGTGTCGGGACGGACACCGCGGTGGCGGCGGTTTCTGGCTCTCCTGCCACCGCCGCTGAGCGTCCAATTGCTGCTGCTTCATCGTGCGCACCACGCACACGGCCAACCTGAGCGCGGCCGCGTGGTGTCCGTGCGACCGGAGCGCGTCTACGCGAGAAGCGCAAGTGGCCAGCGCCTCGTGCCACAGCGGCTGTCCTAGCGAATTGAAGCTGCCCGATTGCGTGCTGTCAGGTATGTGACTGCTGTACGTGTCGCTGGACAGCACGTTTTTCAGATGAATGTTGTCCCAGGACATGCTCACCGCGTCCAAGGCTCTGCGAAAAAAACCAAAACCGAGTTAGGTCGCGGTTGAAATATCATAAAAACAGTAGGTACCAAGTACCGGGAATGGGATTTTGGTCGAAAAATTGACGGATTGCTTAACGTCAATCGCCGCCTAATAAATATTAGGTTCTATTATACAAATATCAAAATATTAGACAGACGTCATTTTAGACGGAAAAATTGTAGAAACTTAACGCAATATATACAAAGGGGATGTGAGGCATTTAGTTGAGATATTTTATAGTAGGATTTAAATTTTAAAATGAAGAATATTTTGTACTCCTTAAATTAAATGCTATTGCATTTGGTACTTGAATTATCATTAAATAATATTGCTTATGATTATTAAAAAGTGGTTTTAACACAAATTTATGATTGGAAAAATTTTAATTTTTAATTTAGTTATTTTGTCAAGTGTAAGTGATGTCTGAGTAAATACTAAATACAATTTTTCTATAAGAACAATGGCCAATGACAAATTAACAATACATAGGTTACTAATAAATAATAATATGTAAATATGTAACTGATAATATATGTTCTTTCCTATAAATTATATATTACATATAATAGTTATAATTTAAAAAACGTATTAATGCTATACATCTATATCTGTCATTAAAAAAGTGCTCGACTGTTACAGTAGTATTGTCTATACCTGTGAAATATCGTCCTGTTGATTCGCTGGCTCGTGCTCGGATAACTACTTCTATACCTCGGGCTGGATCTGCTAGACCGAGATGAAGGCCTATAATTGACATTGTCCACGTCGTCGTCCGAACCATTCTCGGGCAGTTGATGGTGATTTCTCTGAAACGATATAATAGATTGATAAGCGGTCAACATCAAAGTATACGAATAAACTGAATGTACATTAATTGTAGATTGTATTGGGAGTAACTAAAATTAGTGCTTAGAACCAATACCTATAGAGATGTTTCAGAAAATCAGTTGTATATTTTGTTTTAGGCTTGTAAAGTAATTTAATATATTATAAAAAATGACCATTTAATCTTTTTCAAGTTTTACAATTCTCTGACTTTCCCATATCTATTTAGAATATTTTTATTTAATTCTCCACTCTTGAAAAATTTTGATTATACTTATTACACATTTATTATCCAGAATTATTCAGACTCAATAATAGTTGGAATTTTAAAATAATTATTTTCGGCCATGATTATAAATACACCTTCTAAATTATAATTGACTTCAAAGTTAGAGAATTTACTATCTGTTGAAATTAAAATATTTTCACTAAATTCTCTCACTTTTAAATCACTATAAAATAATTAAATTTTTATTACAATAAATTACACAGTTAATAATATCACATTAATTATTTTAATCATTTGGTTATGATATGAAAAGCTTCAATTTAAAATAATATTAATAATAATAAAAACTAATAATTGAATATTTGATTTAATATTTATTTGGATGCCGATATATTAATTTCTGATATGCACTGATTTTGGGAAGCATAAATAAATACCTAATAATTACTTATTATTTATTTCAGAAAAATCAACAAAATCCCTGATTTTACATAATTTCCATATTCCATGACTACGGACAAATCCCAAGAATTATTTATTTAATAGTGATATATATATATATATACTAGGTATTTAAGTACATAAAAGTAGGTGTGTAGATTTAATATACCTACCGTAATTAATGTATGCATTAATATTTAATATAAATTGTATAGTATATTTCGTTCGTGGTTATTCTAATTTTCGACGAGCGCAGTTTAGTTGCCCTCAAGTAGAATGAGTATTACGATTATTATTTCATGTTTTACCATGTTGAGGCTTTAATGAAAGGCGGCCAAAAACATAAACTTAATAACATTAATACAATTATTGTGTTTAAATACTCGTTTCGTTATACTACAGTAGTATCATATCTACACACCGTATGCCCGTAATTTAAAAAATATCTAGGTATATATATTTGTCCATTAATATTAGTTGACGTAATCGTTAAGTACGTAGACCGTTCGTTATGGTTTCGTTTGGTATAACGATATCCAGTGCAAGACCTTAATATCAACTTTTAGGCACTAAGGACCATTTTTTCCCAAGCCCTCAATTACACCCTAGACGTGCACCCAAGGGCCATTGTAATATTGTTTTACAGGTATACTCACGTCGTTGAAGGCGGGCGGCAGTGCCAACATGTCGGGGTCTTCGGGCGGGCATATGTCGACGTGCGTCCACTTGTCCAGCAGTGTCTTCCACTGGCCCTTGTCGATGGCCGTGCAGTGCGGGTTGAGCACGATGCACACCCACAGGGCGCCCAGCTGGTCCCACAGCTGCCGGCACTTGTCCGTGATTGGCGTGCCCTGGGACTTCCACAGGGCCAGCCGAGGATCGCACAGGAACTGTTCGGTGATGAGCGTCAACATCCGGGCGCCGTTCGAGTCTTGGGCCCTGAGCATCTCACGCACCTTGGCGAAAAGCGAGTTGAGCTGCTTGTTGGCATTGTAATAACTGCCATGCGTCAGATACGATCGGACCTGTTCGCACACCTGTTCCTCGTCCAAGTGCCATGTGTGTTCGTCGTCCGCGCTCGGACCTGCCGTAGGGTCGGGCGCTCCTGCGGAAAACATAATCAGACACGGTTAAAATACGTTCATACGACGGACGGTAAATCGAATTAGATATTGTATTAAAATTATATGAAGAATATAATTTATTTATTGTGTAATCTGCATAACCGGACGAAAACGCGAACGCCATAATGTACGCGCGCGTGCACTGTCGAAAAATCATATTCGCAGCACGCGATTTTTAATAATATTTTCATCATCATCGTACGTCGACGTCGACGTCGTGTTATTATTATTATTACTATTAACATCATCGTTGTTATTATATTATTATTATTATTATTATTATTATATTATGCTATTTCCGATTACCCGATGCGAGCGCGCAACAATCGCTAGCTATCACCAATGCACATGATTATGTATATGTATAATAATAATAATAATAATAATAATAACAACAATATTATGACCTCCCACCGAATGCCACGACGAGCTATGTGTTATTTATTATCATTATTCACGACGACTGCAGTACGCCGGCACGCGCGTAGTATTCAGGTATATCACCTGAAATTAACAGTTCTATACCACGCAGTGTCGTGCGCGGTCGAGAACCGCTCGAAAGTTAATGTATGTATCGTATACAGGGTGGTTATCCGAGCGCAATACGACGATTGCTAGTTTGTTACACGTACAACAGAGGTAACTAATATTAAAATATCATTGGTATAATATGCTGTGATAAGTAGATAATAGAATGTTCGGGGGAAAAAAATAAAGAAATAGAAACTCGTTTATTGTACTATATATTATTATTTGATCGTTTTCACTGGGAATGAAAAAATACCGATCGAATTTTATGCGCATAGGCACTAGACGGAAAAAAACCGTATTACCAGTCTTCGCCGGTTTGTCGAAAACATAAAACGCCAAGGAAACAGTTTTTTTATTAAGATCATATAACGCGCATATTATTGTTGACAGTGAAGGGAACGCGTTTCAATACCACGACTTAATGTATATATAATACGCGTGCGTGTGTAGTCGATATCAGCAAACGGTTGTGAAAGAAATTCAGAAACATAATGAGCGGCTCCGACTGAAAATACAGCTTGATAATAAATATTACCTACCTATATAATAAAAGAAATATATCGAGTCGGCGAGGAAAAGTAATCAGAAAAAGCAACGTTGACTGCAGCGGGAGGCAAATGATATAAAAAACCTACGTAACGTCAATAAATACTAAAATATATGTTACATATATATATATATACGGAAATAACGTATAGGAATAACGTCGGAAAATTCTACCCCAATTACACACGGCGTTCGTTGTAGCCAGAGGAGTATAGCGGTCGTTTTGTTGGCTTCCCGAATTGATATATAATAGCCCCCGAGGCCTTTGAGAACCTAATTAAATCTAAAAAAAAAAATAAAAATGGGAGCAGAACGAGTTTGGCTTCTATATTATATGTGATATACACACAATTTTATAATGTTTATTTATAGAGAGTATTGAGCAATGTTGTATATATGATGTGCACCTATTGCCTGATATCAATTGCACTTATTTTGCGCGGCATAAATATTATCTACATAATGGTTGTGATTAAGTTCGTCGAGGTCGAACTGCATAATACTATTTTATTATTTTATAAAACCACCGTGATATGAGCTCGGTGTACGACTCCGAAATCGTTGTGTACAATAAAGTACTACCTAGCCTAACCGACGATATTATCTCCGTCATCGTCACACGAATTTCGTCCAACTATACTCTATAGAAACACAACACAACGCTGAAGCGACAATGAGACGTTAGACGGAGACAATAATAATAAATTGTGTTTGTCGATTCCCGAGTAAAAGAAAACATAAATTCGTTACACAACGCTCGCGCGTCCTACCGGGAAACCGTAACAACATCAATAATAATATATAACTTCAGATTCTCTTCGGCGACGGTTACTGCAAGTGCACACAACGACAACACCTCATTTTCCTTTCATTCGGCGTTCTGTCGTTTTCGACAGAACGGACAACGTGAGCGGATTAGGACGCGGGTCAGACGATGGACGAGGTTTCCCCTAGACGACCCGACGGGATAATACCTATAAACTGGTATAAAACGCACTGGCGTCGAATACCGAAAAGGAAAATCTTAAAACATTCGTCACCATTTCCGTGAGGTATGCATGGGAGGTGTATGGCGGTAAGTAAATCAGAATGTGCAGTCTCCGATTTTTTAATTTTACAGAAATTCGATAGCCGCTTCCACTCGGTTATATTAAGATCCTAAAATAACGAGTGACGGAACAACGTCGTCCCGCAGCGTCTCCGGTGCATGAGCTTAGCCGATTATTCCCGAGAGTAATACACAGGTCGTACGTGAAAACGGTCAGAGCAAATAACTGCAGATGAGACGCTGAGTGAGTCGATGGCGACGTGTCTTGGTTTTTAGCACCGTATGGGAGAAACGGTGACGCGAAAACATTGTAAACGCGCTCTCGCGACTCGCCGTTAATGAATCGTTAGTGAAACGTTTTCTAGGTCCCGTCGTTGGTTTCGTGAACATGTTTTCTCCGTAACTCGCGCGCACGCACACCGGAGTGGCGATAAATCAAATTCACCGAAAATTAGGCACAACCCTCTTTTCGTAATGATTTACAGACGGCGGCGTTCTGTAATCGATTTTGAGTGAAACGATCCCACGGTACGCGAGCCCGCACACACGCACACACTCACACCCCACGTACGCTCAGACAAAGACAAAGTGTCCGTTTGGTTGCCTATACGCGAGTGGTGGCGGTGGCGTCGTTGTACGCTGTAAGACGGGTGAAGGACGAAATAAAAATACATTATTATATTATATTAATTGGTAAAACACTGACACTCGACGGGACGACAACCGGTTTTCAGATTTTTTTCTCTATCACTCCTCTCTTCGCCCCCGCCAACCATCCCCCATATTCTCGCCGCCCCGGCAAACCGTACTGTACGAAGTACACTGACGGAGGGAGACTCATAAATCCGATATTTCCTATATTATTATTATGTATCGTAATAATGTTTCTATACTCGCGCTGTATACAACACACATGGCCAGAAACGGAAGACGCACACGCGTATTATACGTATCTATAAAATAATTCGTGTACGAATCACCAGACAAAACCAGTCGACGCTGCTTTTAAAATAAAAAATTACGTTCGTGGAAACCTACCCTTCTATAATTAATTATTATTATCATTATTATTATATTCGTATCCAACAAATGCAGAACTGCCTAAACGACCGCCACAGCGGCCGGATCGATGAATATAATCGATGAGGTTTCATTACTCACGCACGTGTAAAAATAAACGCGTAGAGACCAACAGCAAGTAGCCTCTCCGTATGTGTACTTTATGCGCATAATATAACGCGTGTGCGGTATTATTGCTGCAAAGCCAAACGTGAAAGTCGATTTTTCTAAGGTCTTATTTCCACGGTAAAATATAAAATTTGATTCTGTCTAAACAAATAACTTGTTTGTCCGGCATTATAATGAGTTCACGCGTGTCGCGCCGGGACCAGAAATCCGAGTATACATGAACAAATAAATGTAATAATATAATATTTTAATATTTTTTCTCCGAAATGTAATTATTATAATGTGAATATGTTATACATTACGGAAATCGGCCACATCTTTTATTTTTGCGACGGAAGTAGGTACGACAAAGAAGAAGACGCGGCATAAAATATTCGATAATCGTTCGATTAAAATACGACGACGACATGGATAATATACATTATATTATTATGAACGGGTTGGCCAATACATCATATTATAATAATATTATATGAGTTGGGTTGGCGGAGAGAACGACGGTATTAAATATATTATAAATGTATACACTATACACTGCCGGGGCGGCCGTGCCAAGATTAATATACGTGGAAAACAATGGAAATAACACCGGATATTACAGTTAGTGCAATTGCTTGTAGCGCGTGCGTGCGTATATTATAATATACGCGGCGTTACGTGAGTCCGGCCTCCTGGCCCTCGTTTGCGAGCGAGCAGCTCTCTGTGAGACATTTTATAATATTAATAACAATATGTACACTTAGCGCCGCCGTTCGATTTATTTATAATATACATACGCACGCACGAGGCGTAGTGTTATTATTATTATTATTATTACTATTATTATTATCAATATTACACCAGTCGCCACTACTCGTAAGGCGGCGGTGGCAGCAGCAGCTGTTGGCCTGGAACGCACGTCGGAGGAGGAAATGGCGTCGACGAAATAATGATAAAAAAAAACCGAATCACTTTTTTTCCTCTCCAACGCCCCCCCCCCCGCGTCCCCTTCCGGGCTTTCCCCGCCACCACCCATCGACGGTCCGGATACTTATACACTAATCAACTAGAAAGTGTAACAAATTATGCGTACCTATATATACAGTATACACTCCAACACTATTTTATATATATTATATATACTAACCGACCGACCAGCGGCGGTGACGGAGAAAAATTTACTTTTTTCATTCGTTTTTATTGTTACACAAAAACCGTGGATTCCACTTATGTACGAGTTTATAATACTACTGTATAATATTATATTACCACTGTTCTGATGTTAGGTATACCTACCTATGCATACTACTCAGTCCACAGCAGTACTTTACTGCGGATACTCAACACACGTATATAATATTATAACGAGTGATTGATGAAATATAATACATAATATCATTTATTTATTTTTTTTTTATATGAGTGGATTTTTAATTTGTATAGTGAAGTGTTAAATGACGTGATCAAATTATGGTATAGATGTGAAAATTAATTTTTAAAAAACGATTTCCCACTTAAGGGCTATACTCGAAGATAATGCCTGGTCCTTTTTCTTTAAATTTGGCAACAAACTATAATAACACTATATACCAACCGGGTCTAACTTACTATAATAATGACACACATAGTTCACGTTTTTTTTCTATATTTGATAAAAATAAAAAAGGTCAGTGACGAAGAAATGTTATT